GTATGGGTGTAGGGGGGGCTGTAGAGCCGGTCGATGATGAACTCCAAGGCAAAGTGGTTGTTAACACGGACGGCTGTCATTGTGTGGATTTCACTGGATAGTAAAACGTCGTTAACGTCAGCGAATAGCTGTGGAAGGAATGCGTTCAGGTGGTTAATGATCGCCATCTGTCGGATTCCTTCGGTAATCTTTGAGCTTTTGGATAAGAGTAGTTTTGCTATTTGACCGAATCCGTATCGAATGGCGTAGTCTAATGAGACGTTAACGTCTACTTCCGGGTTAAATTCAAGCATTTTTTCCACCCCAAAGTAGTTCCCTGCCATGGAAAATCGATTCAAAATTGTTCTTCCACGTTGATCTTTCTCGTTGGATTTCAGGACCTCTAAAGGTAGGTGTTTCACAAGATCTTTCCAGTAGAAAAACTGCTGAGGTAGTGCTAAATTTATCACCGGCTGATGTTCACTGAAAATATGAAAAGCTCTATCCAAATCTCCACTTTTGGAAGCATACCACGAAAGATAAGAAGGGTTCGAAATCTCTTTGGCACATTTTGGTAAAACGCCTTCAAAAAATCTCATGACTTTGACCACAGCGTCCTCAGGAAAATTTGGATCAACTAGCTCTACACTCGTCAGCTCGAATTTGAATGGTTCGTAGATACCGATTGCTCCATAGAAAAGTCCAAGCATATCTGCCCCTCCATCGATACACTTCCGAATTTCATCCCATTCCATTCGACGAATGCTACTAGCTAAGCGCTTCTGGTTCATCGACCACTCAAGCATTTCATTGGAATTTGGAAAAGTGAAATCTTGAACAGCACTTGCTGCGTTTCGACCGAATAGATTCACTGAACAGTTCGTGAGTACAAAGGCATTGACGATAACCTTGATTCGCGAGCTATCCGTTAAGACGTTATACGATAAGGAGTCATGGGCCATGTAATTTCTGTAGTTGCGGCCATGAATCAATGGAATTCGATGCTTCAGCAAGTGAAAGTTGTCTCCAGAATATCCAACTGTAATTAGAATTTCATTCAGCTCTAGTTGACAGTACTCCAGAGCTAGTATGATATGCATCGGAATTCGATGGATTTTGGCAACCAAGTCATCGACTGAGAAGATTCCAGTAGAGTTCAACATGTTGCGGATATCGTGAACTCTATCATCGTAAATTTTCTGCAGGGATTGCTCATCTTGAATCCTCATCCGTTTCAAACACTCTTCGTCCAAGTGCAGCTTCCGACTCTTGAACAATTGCTTGATTACCTTGTACTTGTTGTCCAGGAAGAAAATATTCTCGTAGTATTTCAATAGCTGCTTATGAAGTTCGTCTGCTAGCTCCTGCGATGGATCAGTTACTGCAAGATCCTCCAAAATTTTACCAGTTATCACCGGATATTCTTCCTCTTCGATCAACCGCAATTTATTCTCTATTGTGGACAACACTCCACTCATAACTGAAGGATCATGGTTGATCATATCAGCATCTTGAACCACCAGGAATCCAACTATCACATGATTCGATAACCAATATTTTTGAATGTTATCGTAGATTTCACTCGATCCAAAAATATTCAAATCCCACTCAATCATTCGATGAACCGTAATCAATTCTGCGCCACCTAGAACTGCCAGTTTAATGTCTTCGAAACTGATGATCCACTTGCTTATAAGAGCATCTCGCATGGGTGTCAAAACCATCTCTTTCATTTTCAACGCTTCCTTCAGATAATTAACTTTTCGTCGATCACCTTGTGAATTTGAAATAGTTTCACTCATTTTCTTGAACATAGCTTCAACTTTCCCAAACTGTTGCGTCTGTGCTAATTCTGCCATGCCAAGATTTCCAACAAACTGTAGTAATGATCTGAGTTGAGCAACGCTCTGGCAGCGTCTCATCGATCCAAACAGAGAACGACACGCCTCCAGCACTGAACAGACGAATAAGAGCGAGAAAATCATCTCCACATGACCCAATCGGCTGACGATGGTATTGTAGTACAGTGATTCCGATGGCCCAAACAGGAATCGCTTGGCCAGAGAGTACTTGTGGGAGAAGAACTCCCGGAAGTATTTGTTGGTGGTTGGGAAGAAGTTTGTAAGCATTTGTGCGAGGATAGCTTCCATCTTTTTCGGGATGTTGGGCGAATTTTTCGTACTCTTGATGGCTTCGCCGATTACCTGGATGGTGCGCTTCACAGCGGGAACCGTTACCGGGTCGGATCCAATGTTCCGGGTACAGCTGGACAGCGCTTGTTGGTGGAAGATGCACTTCTGGATGGAATATAGCTGTTTAGTGCGAAAGTAGCAACGACCTAGTCTCGCCAGTGTAGATCGATCTCTTCGATTGATTTTTCTTGGTATCTCAATGCTTTCATTGGCAATTATGTCAGCAGTTATTGTCTGAATACTCAGCTTCTTTTTGCACCCACTTACGATCTTATTAACAATGTTCTCACCAAGCTTGCTGGATGGGTTTGCATTCGACCAACAGATTAACATATGTTCCTTTGAAGGGATTTTGTCTTTTTCAGTGCATTGATCAAGTGTGTTTTTCAATTGTTCTGCGAACTTATCTAAATTCAATCCAATCTGTTTGAGTTCTCTACAGACTACTTCTAGAAATTGCATTATGTTTAATTTATTGATCATCAATTTGAAAACAGCATACTCTTCAGGCCATTTGCAAATCGCCAGGAATATCGCCAAACAGAACACAGTTTCCATCGTTGGCAGGTGTTTCACAAATCGCTTATCCTTAATGAAGTACAGGTGGTTGTGAATCGTTTGAATCCGATGGACAAATTCGTTATCGATATTGGCATAGTCTCGATCGTTGTACCGCTTCTTCAACGAGCTCCAACTGTCTGCAATCACCATGAAATGTATTCGCCATTCGTTCACATCTTTCCCGCCCTTCTTATCTCCAGATAATTTCCGAAATGCATATTCCGCCAAATGATGCTGAAGAAACAACTCCAATTCACTCTCTATTATCACTCTCTTCACGTTCAGCTCCACCATTGCATTTGCCAGCAGCTCAAACAATTCCCCTTCTTCAAACTTCCTCTGCTCCAAAAACAACTTGATCACGGCCAGTGATCCCCGCCGGATCAGCACATAGAGGGCACGGTCATTCGGTAACTTCTTCAATTCGGCACCGATCATCTCGGTGGCCAATTCACGATCACCCAGCACGATTAGAGCACATTCACACGCAGTTTGACCATTTTCATCACGGCGATCACAGTTTGCACCGGCTTCAATCAGGGCTTTCACGATTCGTCGTTTGTTTTCACCCGGTAAAGTAATTGCTGCATGGAGGATTGACACTTCGTTGAATGAATTTTGAAGTAAATCTTTAACGGAAGTTGAGCCATCTAAATGTTCCAAAATTGCACACACTTTAGATTCGTTCATGATTACTTGCTGCGTTTAGTAGCTTTCGAAATCCCCAACTGAATGATGACTAACAGCAAAGTACGCACGAATATTATCGGAACCTGTTTTACAATGTTTTACTCAATTCTCCCATGGCTCAGCGATGCCACAAATACCGATCTTTGCACACGTAAAAATAACCCCCGTGTTTATTTTGATACCGCTAGTTTGTTAGCTCAAAAAATAGTTCCTAAAGGTTACTTTTTTTTAGCTAAGAAACTTGTTACACACTCAAAAAATAAATCACATTTCCAATGGAAATTAGAATTTCACATAACTTTCATGTGATCTCATAATTGCGAATCGCACTACAAAATCACATGAACCTTATGTGTCCAATGAAATTTATGTGATAAATAGAATCCATATGGAAACTATATGAGAACTTTTTTCGGTGCAGTACCCAACGGTATCAACAGAAACAAGGGCCTACCAAGTTTGTTCGTGTGCAAAAATCAGTATTTGTGGTATCGCTGAGCAGGCTACCAATCCACCGTTGCGTGTGAGAAAAGAAGAGAGAAGCAATCGAGATCGAGACGAAATTGTAGTCACTATATTCACAGTCTGGCAGATTCAAAATCCTGCAGAACGTTTTTGTTTAACGCAACATGAATATTTTATATCTTCGCAGTATGAATGCTAACAGCTATATGTGCAATAGGAGGAAATATTTGCGAAGAATTTCGATCAACTTGCAATTTTTAACGCATACTTGCTATGCATGCTCGTAGGCTGTAGGTTGAGCCGTACCGATCGGTCGTGTTTAGGCTTAGATCGGGGTCTGGTGCGTGATAGTTTAATTAAATTAGCTTTACGCATAAATTTTGTTCTTGAGTGAGTTGTAGGTTTTTCGGTTGTTTCTCGAATTTTACTCGTTAAAAAATCCGAGGCGGTGGCTTGATCTAATGGAGTTGGATATTTGCAAACGCTTTATTCTTGAATTGCTGTTGAATTAGTGCTTTGGTTGTTGCTCTCTCATTCCCTTTAATTGGTGTTATGAACCGGTATTTTTACTAGCGGTGGGCCTCTAAATGTTTCAAAATCTGTCTTAAAATCACATGTTTAATAAGTTTTGGGATGCTGATTCCATTTTTCACGTTGATAGTCTTAACAATTGTGTACTAATCCCCCTAAAGTTTGATATTATCATTCATATACTAATGAACCGATTGATTGATTATTTGGGTCAATCCGCGCCAAGTGACCAAGAAAAAAAATAAAAAAGTCAGAGGCGTCGCGTGCCTCATTTGTTTACCTGTGCGCCCAGTTTTATTCGTTATAGTTTACCACCACATGTTAGTTTTTGTTTTATTTTTCAATGCTCCATGAATTCGAGTCACATATTCTCCATCACTATATTAATCACTACCTAACGTAACATTTGAAGAACCTATCATCTTGTATAAACAAAACTTGTATGGCCCTTTTCGCGCTAACCGAAGTAGGAAGAATTGCAAAACTTAACTTATTCCAGCTGAACATTGCATTAGGTTCTAAGTAATATTGATCACTTCTCTTCGTCGACTTTCTATTTCGTTAATAATTTGAGCACATAACCATTTCTAGATGCTAGATAAAAGCTTTTTTTATCGATCTGTGTGCTGAAAATACTTGGGAATGTATTTACATGACTGTGGAGATACAAAGAGAAAATCGACGGAGAGAATCTGTCAATGTTACTTAGGGCCTAATCAATGTTCAGCTTGAATTTTCGTTTTTATCAAAAGGCTAACTCTTCGACTGAAGTGTAATAAAGAATATCCATTAAACACTTCCGAAAACATTTGTTGATACAAAACAAAATTCATAGTCCCCTGGGTACCGAACTCGAATTAATCAACTCTTTATTCATCAGAACCACACTATCAGAATGAACCAGTTTTGACAGACGCACCGGCGCAACTATCGGTAATTGAGAGATTCACAACTGACAATAGAGTGATTGCGGGCTTTTGCGCTCTCTTTCTCCATCACTCTCTTTGTCTGCAATCAGATATCCAAGTGCACATCGAGAAATGCACACTTTGGGCACCCATACATCACAAATGTTCTTCTAATTTAAACTCACACATTCAAACCGGTCTGCAAGTATGATAACGTCCAAAGCGTACCAGACTGCTGTTTCCGTGTTGCTCCCGTTTGACGCGTGACTGCTGAAAGCTTCAATTACAACCAGTGGTGCAAACCGCCATGTATTGTGGAAAATTTGTTGTATGGTTCAAGAGGTGATAGAAGGTCTGCTTGGCTTACATCAGGCATTTGGCCATTCACAAACTTACCACCCTTCTCCCATAAAAGCTCGCTTTTAGGTGCAATATTTAACGAGTTTTGTCATGGTAGTGATATCGACATGCTTAGAAATCAATGCATTAGGGACTAGGCATACCATCCCAACTGAATTTAACTCTTTTTGAAGCAAACCAAGTGTCGGCTTTCTCAGATTTCTCCATCTCATCAATCTGTAAATTGATGCACACAACTGAACTGAACTGTTCTTGTTCACGTCTTAGCTTAGCTTAGCTTAGATTGACTGCACATATCAATGGTTGCTACTCCGTGATTGATCAGAATCAGTGAAATTGTACAATGAATCAATTAATTATATGATTTCAGTAGTAGCTATGCTGAAGATCCGAGAGATGTCGCCCCTTCAGTGGTAGGAAAATCATTTTTGCAGTATGGAGAATTTCAGAAAATCCACGATTTGTGACAAAATATGCTTTCACAGAAGGAAAAAAATAAACGAGTGTCTACCTTATCACTATAGTAATATACTCGTGCAATTTTTGTGAATCTAAAACTGCCCACAAAGACGATAATGAATAAAAACTGAAAATTTTCATGCATTTCCAAATGGTTTCCTACCATTCCCATACATTCGAAAGTGACTGGCCCTCTGGATGTGGATGATGTCAAAAACAACAAAACATGATTAATTGAATGGGGCTGGGAGTGACCGTCCATTCTCATTGTACAAGTTTCAGTGACTCTATATTTTGTAAATCAATAACGGCGTCGGCCACGTCCTTGCAATCAGGTGGGATTAGGGAAGGAATATTAGAGTGACCTTTGTTGTTTGTGGGCCGTGTTTACCTCTGCACCCCAACAAAAGACACAGGAAAGGAGATTTTGTTAGTAAGCGGGTTCGTTGGATCAGGATTCACCTTGATAAGTGATGCGACCATGGTTTTAAATGAATCAGTGTTATCATGCATTATACCTACTTGGATTTGCCCGAAGCCAAAACCAAATGGTGTATCATTGGGCCTTATTACGGGTGTCACTACACGGTGATAAGCAAGTGATACTCAGAATAAGAGCCGTGATTACCGTACAAATCAAATGGGAATCACTTCACCGTGACGACAAGTGACAACTTTTCACCGTGATGTGACATCCGTAATAAGCCCCATTATAATATAAATCTGAAGACGTTCCATCATCGAAATGCTGAAAATGAACTTAGAGCATGAGCATGAGCAAAATTGATCGCCCGCGACTGCCAACACCAAAGAGCTGAAAACCAATTCAAACAAATCAAATCAACAGACAAAACCAGGGTGAAAGCTGTAAGAGTGAATCATTACAGTATAAATCTAGTGATGTTCCGTCATCAAAGAGCTGGAAGAAAACTCAAATAATTTAAATCAATAGATCCAGTCTGAATGAAGGCTGCAAAAAGAGAATAATTATACAGCAATGACCCCATTTTGTCAGCTAGCAAAGTATGTGTATCTTAAGCATTCATCTTGAAGGAGGAAGGTATGACATTACAATTATGTGGAATTATTGAAAAATAACAGTCTGATGCGCGGAGAGGTTGACAGGATCGGGTCATAACTGTAATTTGAAATTAGGAAGATTTATCATCATCATCATCAATTTATTCTTGAATTAACCTGGAAGAATGCTTGTGAATAATTGTTATACAGATAAATTAAATTGATAAACTAAATGGTTTAAACAACAACTCCAGCCTGTAGAAAAGGTGAAAATAGGGAATCTATACAATGTGGATCCCCCACGGTCTTCTACTCAGTAAGCAAAAGCGGCAGCCACCAGGCTAGTCGAGCTGCTCAATTTAAATATTGGGACCTTATTTTGTGAAGTTCTTAAGAATACCACAACTGAACTGAACTGTTCTTGTTCACGTCTGTCTCAAAACTGATCAAGTTATCCTCTCTCAGCTCTCAATTTCCATGGAAGCTTTCCTGTTTGCGATGCTTTAGCTACGTGTTTCTCTCAGAGACGTACTAGAATTACTCTAGCGCTTTTGAGAGATTAGTGCTTTCGCTTTATTTATTTTATTCACATTCTGTTTGAGGTAGCTGGCTACTAGGCTACACATGATTTATTATTATCACATACATTATTATTATTTGAATACACTAGAACTATTATTACTTTTAATTTATTATCAACATATATTATCTACACCAAGGTCGAAGATTTAATTGAACCACACTATAAAATAATGTATTCATGGTCACTTCTGGTCTGGAGTAAAGAAGCACAGCTTTAATGTGATCATAAAATCTATTAAAATCTAAACGGATTTTTTTTTCAGTTGTTTACACCTGTGTCTTGCACAGGTTGCACATGTGGACGCGACGCCACTGAAAAAAGTATAATTGATCTCTTTCGATATGGACCATATTTGGTCTGACTTTTATGAATCCAAATTGTTGTGCCGATCGAAGCACATCAACGATTTTTCGTGATTTTCAAATGTTTTTGAAGCAAGAAAGTGTGAAATCAAGAATAGATTGCCTAAAGTGTTTCCAAATTATAAGATTAATTTTCCATCTAAAATCATTAATGATTTTTTTTTATAAAAGACTTCTTTTCTTTATTTGATGTCGGTCTCTTTTCCGCAGTCTAGTCACCGACGAATCGACATGCCACAGGAGCATTTCGTTTGTTCACAGTTTGAATTGTCAAACGAAGGTTTGATTCGAAGGCGATCAGATCTTTCAAACGAGGTGAGACGCAAACCAAGGCAATATAAATTATACGTGGGTTAGTGTCCTTGCTCATGGTATGACGCGATTGGACGAATAGATGTCGGTAGTGTTTAACGTATTTTAAATATGGCGTCTTGGGCACGAATTTGAAAGCAAGGTTGCTAAAATAATGTTTTTCGGAATAATAAAATCAAAAGATAGTATGATGACATGTTTTAATTGTAACTTACAAGAAGAGATTACAAAGTATGCGTTTGAAACATAAAATCTGTAAATTTTGCTTTCTATGAGTCACAATCAGCAATTTGCTGATCGCTGAGTGAGTGAAAAATCGCTGATTGTGACTCTCATGAAGTGAAATAAACAGGTTTAATTTGTCAAACACATTCTTTGAAACATCTTCTTGTATCTTACCTATTCAAAATATGATCATAGCATCTAAGTATTTCATAATTTAAAAAAAAAACATTGTTTCAGCTGAAATGATTATTTGAAACCTTGTTTGAAAGTAGCTTGTATGAGCTGTCACGTCGGTTCGTCGGTGGTCTAGTGCCAATCACCGACGGACATCGATTGCCATCCATTGACGACAATCGTATCTAGACAGCTTCCACATTTGCGTATGATATCGCGCTCATCAACACACATGAGCCGGGAGCAACCATCCCTCTCCAACTGGGGAGTTTTTTTTTTTAAAGAGAGATGATCAACCCGATTTGTACCTTCCTCAAAGTTATCCTTGCTCGCTTTCTACTCTCTATACTATATATATATATATATATATATATATATTTTTATATCTTTATTAAGGGGACTTTCAGCCCTGGGCTGGTTCGTCTCCTATACTATATAAGTTAAGTACAGCACTTTCCTGAAATCATACCAGAACCCAAAACTATAAGTAATTCAACAAATCCGAGAAACAGCAACGACACTATCGACAGGAACTTCAGTCGATATCAGCAAGAATAAGACACTCCAGCACCAACAACAACAGCAACAACAACAACAAGAACAGCAGAACTGCATCCCAATGCATAATCATATTTCTGTATATCAGCATTCCCATTCCTTTCCACGAGGCGACCATCCATCAGCGACAACGAGACGGTTAGCAGCAGAAGACAAAACATAGATAGCATATAAGTAATAATTCGCGCACTTAGCGTTTTTCATTAAACCCTTTAGTACACGGAGAACAAATTATAGCATACGCAATTATTTTTCCGGTCAAAATAACTATATTGTTCAATTGTTTTAGAGATAACCCGAAACTGTATTTAGTTGATTTGACTATATATAGAGGGCAACAACTTTAGTCCATAGTTGGCTCCTCGGTTGGCTCAACTATATTTTTCAGTAGATGAACAAACGTCAAACTTCAAAATACAACTATGCTTTAGTTGATTCAAGAAAACTATTGTTAGAAAAGCAAAATTTTACAATGTTTATTAAATGAACTGCTCTTCATTATCGACATATTAAGGAAGTTTGTTTTGCTTCTTTATCTATCTCAAAAACACAACTGCAAAATCATAAAAAGTGAACAAGAACATTCAACTTAGGTTTGAACCGTGTTCATCTGCGTGAGAGCCAGCTATCTTATCGCCTGCTCTACGCATCACAAGTTAAAAGTATGTGGATTTATGATGATCAGTTGAAACCAAATTATA